CGAAGCGTCTCCAAAACTGAAGGCATTTAACGAAAACTTCGGGTTCAGAACATTGCTAGGTATTGTTGTATCGGAGCTATCCTCAATCCTGCTTGCAGTCGCTGCAGGAATCTGGTCAGCCCAAAGTAGAGATGGACAAGACGCCCCAGCAAAATGGTTCATCGGCTTCCTTTGCATCCCTCTCTTCCTGAAGCTTTTTGCCGCGGTGGCGCGCGTTCGCCGAGAGAGCGTGATACACGACGAAGGCTCACCCGAATCGTCGACCCTAAACGTGACAGCTCCATCTTCACCAGCAGCCGAAGCTCCAATCACTAAGAAGGACCCAACACCCGCCTCCCCAGATCACCACCAGGAAACAGAAATCTTCGAGGTCGAGGTCCCCTCCATCGGCTTCCTCCTCATCTCTACCCCCTCCCCAGCCTCCCAAGCAAGCTTCCAGTTCTTCCGCCACTACGGCCACCCAATCCGCGACAGCGCCCTCGACCGCGCAAGGGAGGTAGCCAGCATAGTGACGGTGTACGCCTTTGTCCTCTATTTCCCCGCGGGACTGCTACTGCTGTCGTGGATGAACGAGTCTATGCAGTACCTCTGGCTGGGTCAGCAGCTGTGGAGCGTCTTGGTCATGCATCTTGTGCGTCTTTTCGGGTGGGAGGGCACTTCGCGGACGGAGGAGGCGGTGGCGGCTGCTCTCGTGAAGGACTTCAGGGTTGTGTTGGCTGGTGAGAAGGCGTGTGTTGAGGCTACACTGCGGATGGAGGAGGTTACGTCGGTTAGGGAGGGTAGGAAGAGGGTGCAAGAGATGCTAGAAGGACTTTAAGATTGTGGTTTTGGTTTCAATGACCGTGGAAACACTTGGGCAAAGAGAAACGCGCATATATACACCGTCCCATTTTCAGCCTTCGTTCACATTGGAGAAGGAACGTTGCAACTCTTCTAAGTATACGAGCTCGCGCCATATATCCTACCATCTTAATCGGCTGATGACTTGTGCAAGACACAGAGACTGTGCAGCCTCTACAACACCTTCCAATCGACTTTTGAAGTCGGAGGAAGAGACTCATTCTTCAAAAAGAATTGACCAATCTTGTTGAGATAGTGTTTCCCAAACATGGACAAAGGCAACTTCTCCAGCAATACGCCGTGTACGAGGCCCAAGTCCTCATAGAGCGCAACCGCATAGATCCGCCGCGACCCATTACTCAAGTCCTTTAGCGTCGCCAGCATATCCTGAACATTCGCCGTGTATCTCTTTGATTTATTGTCCGCTATCACGTCGTCCTGAGGTAAAAAGCAGTCAACGTTGCCCGATAACTTGCGCGGCCCCGGCTTGTCATCCGATGTCAAGGCGATGCCCACCGCGCGCATAGAAACGCTCGCGTCCTCATTGATAAGCCAATCTGCCACTGTCTCGTGATCTTGACGATCAAGGTAGGTATGATCCGAGGATCCCGAGATACCGGCATACCAGCCCGTGGTCTTGGACACGGGTAGCATGGTCCCACCAGATTCGTTCCGCTTCAGGACCCGTCGCATTTCGTTGGCCGTGCCCGTGGAACGAACGAGATTCCTGGCCATACTTTGGTAAAAGATTGCTCCAAACTTCCGCGAACATTCGCGGAGGAAAGCGAGGGGGTATGTTCCGTAGACCATGGGATCCGCTGGGGCAGGCTTGCTGGTAGACTTTGAAGCCTCCAGCTTCTCGACGTACCAGTCCGTCACGCTCACGGCAGACATGATGGCTGGAGCGCGGCTGGATGAGCAGTGTCGAAGGTTCGCATTTGTGAGGATGGTTGTGGGTGATCCGGCGGTGAGAGCGTTGTCAAGCCGGGTCATTACGCAGAGTTGGTAGAGGTCCCTCACTGCACTTGGAAACGTCCGGTTGCTTGCGCTGTCTTGAATGGTCTTCCTGTTCGGATCATTCACGAGTTTTACATCGTACTGAAAGGGCTCGCTGAAGGAGGTTTCGATGGGCTCTGGCAGCAAGTTGAAATCTCGAGTGTCTCTGAGAACTACCATGAGGGTTCTCAACGAGATTGCCGTCCCGCTCCGATCTTCCAGCCTGATCCAGGTGCGAGTATACAGCTGGATTTCAGGGCAGAGAATGCACTCCTGCAAAGTCCAGAGTGAGGACATCCAAAAGGTGGGCTCGCCTGCCGTAAGATCGTCAACAAGATCGACTAGATCTTCCATTCTCTCACGGCGCTTTTTCTTTAGCAGCTCCATCGCCACCGTGGCCGCCTGCGTTGCTTCGGCTATTCTGTCCTTGATTGCGTCGGTGTCACGGTTCGACAAGATTGACTGCGACTTGAGACTCATCCAGTCTAATGCGGCTAGCACGCCATGCCAGGACTCGACGTCGTTGATCCAGGCGATGCAGTGGCTCGATCCCTTGAAAATTGACGCCTGATTCGCAATCTCCTGGGCAGCCCTCGGATCGCTCTTGTCCTGCGGAATGCAGAATAAATCGAACCAAATATAGCGGTAGCCAAGTTCCTTGAGCTGTCCGGGAAGATCGCGTACATCATAAATGGTGTTTTCTGGGACCAGCCACGGTACTCCGGGAACAGTTGTGTCGGTTCGTGTTCGCCAGCGACCCCATGTGTGGCTGATACATACGTATGGAGGGCATTCGGGCAGCTCCTCCACGGTGACTGTCTGTTGACTTTCGTTGTCCCAGAGATAGTACGGATTGATGCTCGCTTGGGCAGCAGTAATTCTCTGGTGTTCCGCATCATTCTGAACAACGGTAGGATATGGGACTTGTTCATCGGCAGGAGAATGGCTTGGATGTAGCACTGGATAGGAAAGTTTTTGAATGGTCGCAATACAAGAAGATCGATACCGGGCATGCTGAAGTCTAGAAAGCTTCATATGGCAGAGAAAAGGCTCCCAAAACATCGGATTGAACTCGAAGAGGAAGAGCCTGAATAGATGCGAGTGGTAGAGGGAGGTGTCTGTCTTGACTTCGCTGGCGATGCGACGAAGATTGTATCCATCGGAAGGATCTGATATCGTCCAAAACGGTCGGTTCTTTTCTAGACGCGTAGTGGTGGCACGCAATAGTTCTTCGTTGCAGTAGGCCGCTTTCCACCAGTATCGGAGAAGGTCAAACGATCTTCTTTGAGCAGGCGAAAGTGAGCGGCAGAACTCGGGCTCATCTCGAATCAAGCGTTGGATTTCCTCCCAGTCTTCGAGGAGCGAGGCCCAGCCGTGCAGCCTCTTATGACCATCGAAGTCTGGCCCTCCCTTGTATCTGGCTAGATGAACCCACAGCGGGCATACCGGCCACAGCCTAGGTTCGAGGGGCTTGAAGTGCAAGTTCTTCATGGCCAACAATGCCTTCCGGCTTTGGTCAACTGAGTCCTGCCATTCTAGTCGCGGTGCTCCCTCGGTCAGGCGTCTCTTTTCCAGGTCATCGTATGCGGCCCATCGAGGGTGAACTAGAGACTCCCACTCAGGGGAGAAGACGTAGGCAGTGCAAATATCATTGTCGGTCTGTTCGCTGGACCATTCCTCGTGCCATTCGGTGAGTTTGGCGGTAATGTCGGTGTTTGATGACCCCATTGCTGCTGCTACGTCTCGGTCAGAGTGTGTCTGCAAAGATTCTTGACTTGCTCGTCTATACCTATCGTCAACCGGAATCGATGTTGCCGTCGTTTGCCGGACTAAGTTCAATTGCTGTCGTTCAAATGAGGGATTTTCAGTCCTCTTTTGTTCAAGAGATTGGGTTATGAGGCACGAGAAGTCGCATTATCTCGACAAAACCTCGTTCATACATCGCTTTAGTATTGCTTTACGCAACGGTCTTGGACTCTGTTATTCCAAGGATTTGGTCCTTCTTCAACCCCTTCTGGCAATATTGTGGACTGACGTATGCAAGTAAGACGCGACTCGCGAATCATCTTCTGACAACATCTTGCTGCCTGGCGCTGGTGATAGCGATATTTAACATCTCCACAATGAGGCCACAGATGATGTCCAATATTTCCGATCTCAGGCCGAGCTTATGAATTCTATAACCTATAAAAACATCAAGACTGAAGACTGAAGGCGAGAAATAGGTTGCGTGGCATGCCTCTCTGCTACGGGCGCAGAATAGCTTGGCACCCACCCCAGAGGGCCAGAATCCGAGCCGGAAGAGCTATCCCCCTCTTTGACTGTTCAAGATGGATCGCTTCACTAACCCCTGGTCGAACACCCCTGTAATTGCTTCACGCGGAGAAATGGGGTAGTCGAGCGGAAGCCGCCGTCCCTAATTCTGATTCTCTCCGCTTTCTGCTCATCTCCATCGTCTAGCAAACACCATGAGCAAAATGACTGAAAGACTGGTATAAATGCGACCTCTGCCAGGAACGGTGGTCGGCTAATCGACGGACTTCTAAAGGGCGACCTGACTGGATGATTCATCAAGTCGAGCAGTCTACCAAATGCAGGTTCATCTGCACAAAGATGGAAGGGGAGGGTAGAGTCGCATCCAAGCGAGCGGCCAGATCTTCCCCCCATGCACGGTTCCTGGCCCGTTCTACCGTGAAGCCACGAGGGAAGGGAGCTGGAGGATAATGAACGTTTGACTACCCAAGCACATTTAGCATGGCACTAGGCCTGTTTTCAACTTACCTCGTGGCGGATAACCTTTGAATCAAAGCTGCGAACCCTTGTCGGCATTCAATGTCACAGCGCCCAGACAGCCAGACAAAGGCTTCGGAGGGTGACCTTCCTTCGCCTCAAGAGGAACAAGACGGGACAGGAAGAAGGAATAGAGCTCAATCACGGAAATTTGGCTCCCTGGAGAGCGCGTTCCGTTGCCAATGCACCCCTGAGCGAGTTCATAATGGGTAAACGGGAAGAGACCCGACAGCCATGGTTAAGTTGGACGGAGATGTCTGAACATATATGAAGACCTCCTTCTCCCGATTGTTTGGTCGAGGCGCGCGCTGTTCTGTCTACCGGCGCAATCGTCGCATTCTCTCTTTTCAGGAACTCATCACGGCTTCCCAGTCATGATGGCGTCTTCTCTGTCCCGCTTGGGCCTTGCCACTCTCTTCATAGGCCTGGCAGCGGCCCAGCGTCAGATTGGGCCCGAAGAGAACCACCCCCCACTCACGACATGGCGCTGTACCAAGGCCGGCGGCTGCACTGAAGTCAACAACTTCATCGTCCTCGACTCCCTCGCGCACAACGTCTACCAGGCCAACGGCGGTGGAAGCTGTGGCTCCTGGGGCAGTCCGCCCAACGAGACGGCGTGCCCGACCAAGGAGGCCTGCGCCGAGAACTGTGTCCAGGAAGGTCTCGACGACTACAGCCGCGTCGGCGTCACGACGAACGGTGGCGCCATGACCATGTACCAGCTCAAGGACGGCGTGCAGGTGTCTCCGCGCGTGTATCTTCTTGACCCTTCCAAGGAGCAATATGAGATGATGCACCTGACGGGCAAGGAGTTTACGTTTGACGTCGATGTATCGAAGTTGCCGTGTGGCATGAATAGTGCCCTGTATACCTCTGAGATGGAGGCCGACGGTGGCAAGAGCGCGCTCAACACTGGTGGCGCTCGTCACGGCACGGGGTACTGCGACGCCCAGTGCTATACTACGCCGTTCATCAACGGTGAAGCCAACATTGAAGGATACGGTGCATGCTGCAATGAGATGGTGAGTTGCCTGTCCTTGGTGGGTACTCAAGAAGCGACTAACGTGCCATCACAGGACATCTGGGAGGCCAACTCGCGTTCTGCTCATCTGGCGCCGCACCCGTGCAACCAGACTGGTGTCTATCTCTGCGAGGGCGAAGACTGTGCCTTTGAAGGCGTCTGCGACAAGAACGGCTGTGCCTGGAACCCGTACCGGTCAGTGACCAGCTTTGCAGCCCAATAGTATTGAACAGAACCTAACCCTAGAAACAGAGTCAACCAAGGTGACTTCTACGGCCGCGGCTCAGGGTTCGATGTCGACACCACGCGTCCCTTCACAGTCATCACACAGTTCCCCGCCAACGAAGCCGGCGTCCTCACCGAGATCCACCGCCTCTACATCCAAGACGGCCACCTGATCCGCAGCGAGGTCGTCAACAACACTGATCTTCCGCAGGTCAACTACCTTAACGATGAGTTCTGCGCGGCGACGGGCTCGCGGCGGTTCATGGATCTCGGGGCGCACCGGGAGATGGGCGAGTCGTTTGATCGGGGCGTGGTGCTTGCGTTTAGCATCTGGTGGGATGCCGGCGGTGGGATGAGGTGGCTGGACGGTGCGCCGGAAGCCGGGCCATGCAATGAGACGGAAGGATTCCCGGAGAACGTTGTCAAGGTTGAGCCGAACCCGGTTGTGACGTTTAGCAATATCAAATGGGGCGAGCTTGGGTCTACGTTCAAGCCTCAGTGTAAGAACAAGCCCAGGAATGTGTAAGTCGTCTAGTGAATAGCAGTCCACTTTCATGCGTCGAGTTTTGTCATTCTCTTTGATATGTCGCCTTGTTGGTATGTCCGTAGACCATCATGTTTGATAAGGCATCGTGACTGTCCTGGGGAAAGGTAAAGTTGTAGAAATGAATAGTTGAGAGAAGGGAGAAGAAGGTTCCAGGCCGGAGAGGACCGCCGAACGCGGCCCCACCAGATTGGCGGCTGAGTCAGCAGTCCAGAGCTTGGACGCGTCGCGTAAAGTGGTCGGTGGTTCCTGCCGCCGATGGTCAAGTCGCCCCGCGGTTCCAGCTCCGACCATGGATGAGCTGCGAACACCTCCACCTACTTACACATTCCCTCTCCGTCACTCTCGGGATGCCTTTCAACGTTTCCGAGCCATCGCGAATACATAACAGCGCATAACATGGAGGCAGCAACTGAGCGCCACTTCTTCCACCACGGCGCTCCGAAGCCTGGCGCAACCAAGACCGCCCTCAGAGTAGAGTATCCCACAGTCCTACAAATGCAATGCACTTTCCGATCATTTATGTGACACTGCTACATGATGGGAGCTTTTGCTGACTGGAATATACTGCAGGCCATTGAGAGAGAAAAGCTGGACTGCCAATGGTGCCAGATTCGAGCATTTCCGAACCATAAACAATACCCAATCACTATCGTAAACGAGGTCGACGACGAAATAATACCGCCCAACTTTCGATTTCTGCAGCACTCAAAGCTCGGTCACGGGGTGCAAGCCGCAGAGGATAGTTTCCGAAGCGGATGCGAATGTGAAGACGAGGAAGAATGCCAGTATGCGGGCTGTCTCTGCCTGCAGGAGCAAGAAGACGACTCAGATGACGAGGGCGAAGCGAGAAAAAAGGCCTACATGTACCATATGCACGGCGTCAAAGCTGGGTTGCTGCGGTCAAAATTCCTGGGCTCAACGCGGCCCATTTACGAGTGCCACGAAGGCTGCGCATGCGACGTGACCTGTCCTAACAGGGTGGTCGAAAGAGGTCGTCAGGTTCCTCTTCAGATTTTCCGGACTGAGAAGACGGGCTGGGGTGAGTTGAGCTGAGAGGCTGCTGCTATGCTGGAGAGAAGCTTACTCTATGAGACTAGGTGTTCGATCGTTGCTCGACATTCGACGAGGACAGTTCGTCGATAACTACATTGGCGAGATCATTACACCACAGGAAGCCCAACGCCGACGGGATACCTCGAATATTGCGCAACAGAAGGACGTGTACCTTTTCGCGCTCGACAAGTTCACGGATGAAGACTCCCCTGACATGCGCCTGCAAGGCCCCCCGCTCGAGATAGATGGCGAATTCATGTCCGGCCCGACTCGCTTCATCAATCACTCCTGCGAACCGAATTTGCGTATCTTTGCGCGCGTGGGAGACCACGCCGACAAACACATTCACGACCTTGCCTTCTTTGCGCTTCGCGACATTCCCCGAGGAGAGCAGCTCACGTTCGACTACGTCGACGGTGTCAGCGACGACGCTGTTGATGCGAAGGACAAGAGCAAGCAAGGCGACATGGTTCCGTGTCTTTGCGGCAGCAAGAATTGTCGCCAGTTCCTGTGGTAGTCGTTCAGTATCAATGATATCTGTCTGGATTCGATCGCGTTTCTAGCTTCTGGTTTGTCGGAAGGTCGGATACCAATTCGATGCTAGCCGCGAAGTGCCACATACTGTCGGCGGTAGCGGGATTTGTGGAAGTCAAGGAGCCGTCAATGACGAAAGATGCCAACGTCATCGGCATCGGGCTTTTACAGAGCTTACCTCCAACCTTGCTGATAGGTACGGACGGAAGTCTGGCTTCAAAAATGGGCCCAGATCGAGGATACCGGGAGACAGCGGGCAAGCAAGACTGGGTCAGGTGCCGAGACGGCATGACACGGAGGCTCCGTGGGTTGATGAAGCATCAAGCCTACAAAGAGCCCACAATTTGGATCTTCAGGGATGGCCGGTGCGCCCGGTTCGTCTGAAGAGGCGGACAACTCGGGACGCCAAGGGGGGATGCCCTGGATTGGGACATAAAGCATGGCCTTACTGACGTCCAACTCGTGCACGGCGCACATGTTAATTGTCAGGTCGGAGGGGGCATGACGCGACGAAATGCATCTAAGCCTGGGACGCAAATTGAGGTGTCAGATCTGGTGTTGCGATAGAGACGCAGATCTTATGTGCTACTAAGGCAAACTTCCAAATTGGCGCTGGAGTCAGGTAACGGGATCTCGGCAATGGCGTCTCAATTGGTGTAATACGAGACGGGCCCCGGTCGATATCCATTCTAGAAGCGCCAATTTGAGCACCGCTATGACCTCTACGAATACTATTAGGAAAAGGTAGTGATTAGTGAATTGTCTTCACGGATGGTGTCTCTAACTCGCGTGCGTGATCGAGATGTGCTGGTAGAGGCGCCTGCTATACGCCATCGGTATGCAGTTGGCCGCTGTCCGTGTTTATTGATCAGGCGTCCAGTTCATGGTGGCTCAGCAGAACCTTGGAGTGATCCCCTCACAACCAACACTGAGGGCCAATCGTAGTGTATGTAGAGCTCGAGGGTGAAAAAGAAGGCCGATGGAGGGGAGTCTTGCGGCATGAAGCGAGTGGGCTGAGGAATGCTGGGGAGGACCCTGTGCTGGGCTGACTTTTCGGATGGATCTCGCCAAGGCACTTGTGACCAAACCTTGAAGAGCTGGACTTACAGAAATAAAATAGCTGTGGACACTGAAGGGAGTTTGTGTGTCTGTACGGATGTGAGAGACACTTAGGGGAGAGAGAACCATGTGGCTGGGCCGATCCAATGTCTCGATCCATTGTCTCTTAGCGTCTATCGAATATTTCTGAAAGAGGATAATCCACGTGCAAACGGGAGACTCGAAGGAGCAAAACATGTCTTGATTTGGATGCTGAACCCAGAGATATCCCACGGGTGCGTGCATTCAAATCATACACAAGGTACGGAGTACCTTAAGGTAAGGTAAGGTACCTCGGATCTTAAAAGAGGAATGCTCAAAGGGGGAAGAGGGACGAAAAGTCGAGGTCCACTGCTTTCTCGCCTTATCTCTTCGCAAGCGAAGCGGACGGGAAGCGAAAAACAAGCCCAATTTCGACGTCTCACAGCGGCAACCCACTGGACAAGCCTGGACTAGCACCATCCCTGCTGCTGATATCCTCTTCCGGGGAACTGCAACCACTGATCATCTGCTGCATTCTTTCCATTTTTTACCTCGAGATGTACTAGGGTACCTACCTAGGTATCCGTAGAGGTGAGCGATAAGGTACCAAGAGAGACTCACTCACCACACTCACCTTGCCTTCACCATCTCACCTCTCACCACTCACCTCACCTGCCACCTTACCTCTCGCAGTAATCCTTCCTTTCGTCACCACTGGACCTCAGGTGCCTCACCCACCCTCCCAAACACAGTCCTAGTCCCTCACTTTCTCTCGTCACTTTTCATCTTCTCCTCTGCTGCCCTCCTTCTGCCGCCTGTAACGTTTTTGAGGAGCTCCTCTCTGCTCTGTGCCTCTCACCACCCACCTTCACTCTGCCCTCGTTCCATTCGCAACGCCTCCCCCTCGAATACGTACCTTTCTTGACTTCAGCTACACCACTTCCCGTCGCTCTCCCCACGCTCCGTCCGGGACCAACACGACACACACGACACACACACACACCTTTTTAATACACGACAGCCGCAGCTCGTCGACCAACCAGCGTCAGATCGTCACGTCAACGACACAAGGGTCTAGACCCTCCAACAGCCCATACTCGTTTCCTCTCCTCTTTCAACATCGCCCCCGTTTTCACCACCCGACCTCTCTACGGCAAAGCCACTAATTAGTTCCCGCCAACCTTTTGACATCTTTGTTCAGTACAGCTAGCCGAAGCTTGTCTTGACTCGTCTTTCATCTCGAGGTCAACGGCGACACTTGATTATCACCAACACGCCGCAAATCACAACCTGGGCAATGGCACGAGACGCATCAGCTTGCTAGAATCAATCTCCCTCGCCAACACAGAACCGAACACCCCATCCTCCATCTGAAGGCGTTGACAATATGGTAAATATTTACTTCCTCTCCCTCTCGTCTCTGTATGATACCGCCGTCGGACACTACTCCGATACGCCCAAGCGCTCTTCCTGCCAATACCTGCATACCTCGTCCGACCACCTCCCGCATGTTCTCAGACTGACGATCCTTCTTGCATAGGGCTGCTGTCTCTCCCGCCCCCAGGGCTCTAACGCTCCCTACCCGGGTCCGACCAACACGGGCTCCGCGAGAGCTATCAACTCTGCGCCCGCCTCCGTTCATCGCGACGATGACTCTCCTGCCGAAACAACACAGACCTCCTCCGGTCGCCGTCGGGGCCGCCACTCTAGTATGCCTCTCGACAAGCACATCAACAAGCCTCTGCGCCGCCACGTCTGGGCTTCTAAGGGTCGCGCCTGGACCCGTGTCGCAATAGACCGCGAGCGAAGAGACTTCTTTGACACCCGCGTTACTGGCCGCCCAGAAGTCTGGCAGTCTTTGCGCGCAGCCCTCGAGGTTATCTGGGACCCCGTCAGCCAGGGTGCCGCTGACGACGGCACCGATGGTCTTGCGACAGCGCAAGGCATTCTTAATGCGGCAGAGATCACTCTTCCCACGGGTGATCTTGCTCAGGGTGCCTACGATCAACTGGGCAACTACTATCCCCTGTCTGAGTGGCTTGTCGCCGATCCCACGAATTTGGTAGAGGACGATGCCACGATTGATGGCGCCGACGAAGCGCTCTCTACTAGAGACCTCAAGGACGATCTCGCGGGAGGAGAGGAGACTACGGAGGAGCTGGACGAGGACGACAACGTTCGCCGGAGAGAAGAGAAGGGTAAGGCCGTCGTCAACGCCCGGGATCAGCTCTCCGTTCTAGCCCGCCTGAGCGAGACTGCGCGCGATGTCACTGTCAGCTTTGTCAAGAGCGATAGCGTCAAAACTGTTGCTCGTAAGATCCAGGAGCAGTCAGGAGTAAGTAACATATCTTGAGTTCTGCCTCAGCCTAATTTTCCTGGAGAGGACATCATCTAACAAGCTCCCAGCTCGCTAGCACCAAAAAGATTCGTATCGCCTATATGGGCAAGATCCTTAAGGACAATCTCTCCCTCGCTGAACAGGGCTGGGCAGAGGGTCATGTGGTCAACGCCCTCGTTTTCGACAGATAGCATCGTCGAGAATCGCAGGCGGACAGATATGCGCCCATTTGGCTTAAGACGGCATGGGTTCGCCGACTGAGAACGTCGTCTCAAGACATGCAACGCGGCCTACACTCTTCTCCTCAGTAAAGAACGACGACAAACACAACGCACATCGCCATGGCGTACGCAACACGGCTGCAGGCATGGCGCCACCCCGATCACATTCGATTCGATTTGGTTGGGTACACACCTCGACATGAATTTTCCTTTGGTCTGGCTTTCCTCAGTCTGGATAAATACCCCCTTTCATTATGGTGCGGGACTCTTTTTTAATATTCCATTATAGTCGATCAGGCGTTCCGGAGGATGGAAACCCACTGCCTCACAAAAGAAGTTGGTCAGCAATTCATTGCAGGCGTTCGTTTTTCCCATCATGAGCACTTCACAGATGTTTTGGTTCTTTCTCTTCTTAGTTGTTAATAGCGGTCATTACGATCATTCGACAAGCGAGCCTTTCTCCAAGGTGTAGGGCAGCGATGAGTGGCTGTCACTGCGGAGAGGTACAATACCAATAATTACTCAAGATCTGTTCAGCCTTTTTATGTGTTGCAATGCCTGTTTTCCTCGTGTGATTTAGGAGAGGCAAGTAGAGACGATGATCTCTTTGGACTTTGAACACCTCATGCACACGATCATACATGCCCACCCAAATTTGCGTGCAGGAAAAAGACCATTTGTTGAACATCAAGAACATCTCATTTCTACCTACTCATGACGCCTGACCGGGCTGCACTTTTTACTCTAACCTCAAAGAGATAAGAAGAGGAGAGGGGAGTCTCTCCTTCTCAACCCCCACGCCCCCTTGTTCATTCCCATTTCAACTCAACTCGACGCTGTCGACAAGCCAGCCACTACCACCACCACATGATTTACTTTTCCCCGGCATACACCATCGAAAACTCAACACTTGTGTCTCTTTCCTGGCTCTTCATTACACCTGTAGCCATAGTGGGCCTCAGATAGCCAGGGGAACAAACCGCAAGTCTCCGTATATAGCCTTTCATCCCCTTTATCAGGTCTCTTATGCCGCTGAGCCAATCTTATTGAGACCCTTGAGGGATCCCAAGCTCAGGGCCAGACCCTGCGATCTGCTTCTTATTCTGACGAAGCCAGTAATCGGTCCGTCTTCGCCTTCCTTCTCGATACTCAAGTTGGCCAGAGCATCCTCGCCTAGAAATCGTATTAGCTTACAAATGCTGCGAATATCAATGAACCAGGGAAAGTAAACTTACCAAATACACTGCGAGCGTACAGGTTGGCACTCAGGAACTGGCAGTCGCCCTTCATGCTGGCCTCGGGGGTCAAGCAGTTCATGTTGGTCGCCGCCATCAGCTGCTCGAGGAAATCGCGCAGAGACTTGGCCTTGGAGTTGATGTTGACCTTATTCTCCCACTCAAACTCGGTCCACATCGTGCGGAACTGTGTCTCGGTACATGTTGCCGGCTGGATGTAGTCCATAATGTCCACATGAAGGTCGTTGAGAATGACGACGTTTGTATCCGTTGAGTGAGCACCGTCGTAGACAACGTTGCCAAAGATGACACCAGTGTCCGTAGAGGACACCTTGATTGTGCACTGCACGTTGTGGAAGTCATGAGGTCCCAGGTTTTGTGTCGTCGGCCGCTCGACGACCTTCAAGTCACCGAGAGTGGCAAACTCGACGGAGAGATTCTGCAGCGTCTCCATCGTCTGGTTGACCAGAAGGACGTCCAGAACGATGTCGAACTGGTGAACCTTGACGTAGGCCTCGGCATAAACAGGGTCGGAGAAACCGGTAAGCTGCACCACACGGCTGAGCTTAGACGACAGATCCTCGGCGGTGGCCTCTCCACCTGTTGCGCGCTCCAGGTCAACCTCGATCTCGTCCAGACCATCGCTAGCATTCTTCTTCGAGAGCTGGCGGATCTGAACGACATCGTCAACCTGGATGGCCGTCTTGGCCTTCTCAACGGCCTCCTTGGCGGCCTTCTTCTTCTCCTCGGCCTGGACCATCGCTCTGAACGCCTTGCGGGTGTCGTCGAGGTAGACAGTCTCGAGCTCCTTGTTCTGGGCGAACTCGGCGAGCGAGCGGACGCAAGACATGATGCGGTCAACCGAGTCCTCATCAATGGGGGCCTTGACGAATTGCGACTGGCCGACGCGGATGATGGAGATCATGATAAGCATGGCCTCACCGCGGAGAGCATTGGTGCGCGCTGACTCGGCAGAGATCTCTGCGTGGCGCATAACCAACTTGACGAGGGTGGCGGAGAGAACGGTTGCGAGGTAGTAGTCGCCGTCGAGAATGAGCTGGCGCAGAGGAGGCTTCTGGGCAGCCTTGACAGCCTCCAGCTTGGCAGCAACAGCAGACTGGCTGGTAAGGGCGGTCTCGGTCGCGTACGTTCCATCGGCAAGAACCTTACGGGAGCCGGTAGGTGCTGCGGGCTTTGAGTGTCCGTTGACCTGCTCCTTGTTCTCTTCTTCGCTATCGCCGTCCAGAAGTCGTTGTTCCGAAGCGAGAATCGGGATCTCGCCGAGGCTGGCACGAATGCTCTTCCATGCATCCCGAATGTCGCGCTCCTCCAGGGAGTATTCTCCTATGATCCACATGATACCTCTGTACACCTTCCCGGCACGCACCTCGCTGAGGGTAGCAACTAGCCTCTGGACGATCGGCTTCCGCAGCTTGGGGAACTTCTCCACGACCTCCTTGACGAAGTTGATGACATCGACGGCTGAAGTGTTATTGAAGTCGGCGATGAAGTCCATGAGCAGGTCGACGACGCTAGCGGCAACCTCTGAGAACTTGATGGCGCACTGGTGGATGGTGTGGATGAGGAGCTGGCGGTACTCGGTGTTCTTCTCGTACTCCTGGTCGACAGTCTTGGAGAGCTCCTTCTTAAGCAGCAGGACAACCTCCTCGACATTCTTGCTTGACACCATCTCGAGAGCAATATCCAGAGCCTTGCGTCTGACATCAATATCGGGGCTGGAAAGAACGCGTAGGATCTCCATAACCAAGTCGTCCAGAATACCCTCGTTCTTTTTCCGCAGTTGATCAACCCGGTCAAGCACGATGAGCTTGACATTGTTATCGGCCTCCTTGATGCTGAGCTCGATGAACTTGGCGGCCGCGGCCTTGACGGCGACAGGGTTGTTTGTGAGGGCGGTTAATGAGGAAGCGGCTTCGTATACGACGGTCGAGGTGTTGGCTTCGAGGAGGTCGAAAATGAGTCTGAGATACCGTGCCTAATCAAAGTCAGATGTGCGACAAGGCAATGTCCGTTCTCGGTTCTCGTTACCTTGTTCTGAGAGTTCTGGACGGCATCCTTGCGGATGAACTCGAGCTCAACAAGCTGCAACAGCTCTTCTGCGTTCGGGATACCCTCAAATACCGTGCTCAGGTAGAGCAGTGCCTTCTCGTGGTCGATAGAGGCCAGCGCAGCGAAAGCGTTGCGCTTGCATGTGGGATCGTTCTCGGATTCGAGGAATGTGGCAATGAGCTCTGAGGCATCGGGAATCAGGCTGGCGGAGTGTGTGTAGATGGAGGAAACCGCAAAGACGGCGTTCTTGCGCACGTAGGCGTGGCGGTGCTCGAGACATTGTCTGGCGGAGGAGAGGAGAGGCTCGATGAGCTCGGCTTCTCTAAGCTTGCACAAGAAGCGAAGAGTGTTTCCCCGGATGTACTCGTTGGGGTGCTGCAAGTCGTTTCTGATACCGTTGCTAAGGCCAGAGTGTCAGCAGGGGTGCAGCTGCGAAGGGAACGAACAAGCCAGCCACGAACCAGACCAAGATCATTTCTTGCTTCAGCTTGCCATTGGAGTCGAGCTTGGGGCAAATCTCATAGTAAAAGTACAATAGCTTCTTCAGAGCCTTGTGCTTCGAGGGCATGACGAATCGGATGATGTGCATGAGCAAGTTGGGCATGGGATCGCCATTGAGCATGATCGTGAGAATGCGCTTCATGGTCTCGACTTTGCTCTCGTCGGTGCCCTTCTCGAGCTGCGTGCGCAGGTCCGAGAGGGAGGGAACGTCGGCGGCATTGTCCTGGTGCACCAAGCTGTACGCATTTTCCAGAAAGGAGGCCATCGTGGCGGGTGCGGTGTGATGTTGCTGGCGAGGTGCCGGCGCTGTGGTTGAGGACGTGTTCAAGGGGGAGTTCGGGGTGTTCGAGTGGGATGTATCGAAGCTGGGCGGTGGGGATTGGACGGTCTAGGGACGGGGGTGGAATACGTGTTAGCTAAGGGAAGCTGTCTATCGCTGCGAGTTCACAGCCCAAAGTGACCAAACTTGACGGGATTGGGGAATAAGACGAACATTAGGCCATCCAGCGAGACTGTCCTCTTCCACACGAGTCCTAGGTAGTCATGCGTCGCCTTGTTGTGCTGTGTTGAAAGCAATAAGTTCCGACATACGGCTCGGTAGCTGGGCTCTCTCTCACACTCTGGCCTCCATTTCGTGAATATCTGTCCCTGGGCACCAGCGCCGGACAGGTGTCACTTACTTAGGTAATCACACGTGATTCAGGTTTTAATGGGACTTGACCCCTTGCCGCCTTGCGCAAAAAACGGAGACGGAACGGATTAACTGATAAGAGCCTCCCTTGGCGGCCAAGAGCTCTCCATTGGCGACTGGAGGAAGCTTGGACCATGTCGGATCGGACCCCGCTACCCTACCGGCGAGGCACCGCGGGCTAGGCTGGACTCGATGGGGACCATCCCGCTTTTCCTTGCATTCCCATCTCCAGCCTTGCAGCTCGAAGACACCAGCCGTGACATTTCACTGACATTGCCAATTGTCGCCAACACTGTTGTCACAATGGCGGCCCCCAACGATCAGTTCTACCTCCGCTACTAGTATGTAGCCAGAGCTTTACACCGTGTTATGAATAAATGCTAATTGAGATGTAGCTCCGGTCACTCTGGGCGATTCGGACACGAGTTCTTGGGTAACACCGAATCCCAACCCCACTATCCGGTTCTTCGAGTAACCTTCTGACGTTCTTTCTACCAGAGTTCGACTTCCGCGTCGTTGGCGATGGACGTAGCGCAGTCGCGCGTTATGCGAACAACTCCAACTACCGAAATGACAGTCTGATCCGCAAAGAGAGTACGGCGCCTTTCCCCTAATACTTAAACGAGCATCACTAATGGCAACATCTAGTGTGCGTCAGCGCTCTCATTGTCGACGAGATCAAGCGCATCATCAAGACGAGCGAGATTCTGAAGTGGGATACCCAAAATCAACCGACCCTGGAGATACGCTGACATACAGGGTGAAGGGAAGATGACTCGAAGTGGCCACAAAAGAACAAGGACGGACGTCAGGAGTTGGAAATTCGGCTGGGCAACGACCACATCTCCTTTGAGGTGGGTTGAAAGCGACTTTGTTGGACTTGGAGCTTCGGGCTGACTGACGTGTTTCGAACAGACGGCCAAGATCGGCTCACTGGTTGACGTGACAGAGTCTGCCGACCCTGAAGGCCTGCGCGTCTTCTACTACTTGGTGCAGGATCTGAAGGCGCTGGTGTTCAGCTTGATCGCGCTGCACTTCAAGATTAAGCCCATCTAGAAGGGGGACACATCGAAGAAGTTGAAGAAGGCGTCAGACTAATTTAGGCGGCAAACGACAAAACACTTGGAGATACCCCTGAGAACTGGGCCCGCATCTGTTCTCCTCCTCTCGTGCAAGAACGCTACAAGCCGACCACGAGGACGTACCATGACGAATTAGCCCGCATGTGACCTGCGGAACGACCTTTTTTTTTCTAGAAAAAAATGCATGATGCTGCAAGTCGGGTGCATGGAGGAGGGGTCTTGGGCCCTTCAGCTCAGACGACGAGCTGGCGAACGGACAAACGGGCAGGCGGGAAATTAGACAGCCCTGTTGGTCGTCCCTCATACGAGGTCAGACTCGGGAACACCAGACTGCATGGCTACTGGTCATGTGATGTGAGGGGAAAATAACGAGATACGGTTTTCACTATTGATGCACGCACGCGCCCCCTATTCTGATGGTATTTTGAGATTGAGTGATGATGATGTTAACACGACTGAGAGACGAAGACGAGTTTAATTTTCCAAGTGGCATGTGGCCCGCTGTCAAAAGAATGGCACACTTATTGTTCGGCCAGTTTTGTCTTCATGGGACGCCGCGCTTGGTTCGGGGATGCAGGTAGTGCGGGTTCGCAGACGATGCCACAGTTCGAGTCAGTCTTTTCACAACGGCGCATTTATACCAGGCAAAGGCGCGTTACAGAGCACCTCGAGCTGGGACCAACAGTCGTGTCTTTCCTCGGGCCAACCATACTGAATGATGGACAGAGCCCAGCAGGGTAAAGGGCCGTTGAGGCGTGACGGGAAGAAGCCGGTACCTGGGGTTCGGATCGCGCCAAAAGAGGCAGCATGGAAGGAGGGTGTAAAATTCGACGATGCGGCGTTGAACGGCGACGCCGATCCCAGATTGTCTTTTATGCGATGAATGTGTATGATGGCTACTTGTTTGCAACTAGAGACACATGCCATTGAGCATACCAAACGCGAAAGCTGACCCAAGCTCCTCACCTAAGAAGGGGTGAAGTATTACAAAGGCCCGGGAGGAAGGTGAGTTCACCAATGTAAGGTGAGACTGGGAGAACCCGTACTCACAGACAGTATCAACAGTGCAATGAAGAACGCGAGTCCCAAAAGGGAATCACGGGTGGTGACAGGGAGCTGCTGGGTCGGACGTTATGACCGAATACTGAAAGTGTAAGGTTAGGGATAGATGAATAGGGTGAGTGTCAATTGGCACAGCCCTTTCTTCAACATGAGGCTGAGGCTTAGACTGTGGAGATGGGGCGGGTAAGGTGAGCTTTCTTCTAGTCTCTGGAGAGTCTGGAAAACCTGGAGATTCAACTCTTGAGTCACCGAGTGTAAGGCCCGGTGAGAGTGAGGGGCATAGAGTTAAAGAGGCGAGACGACAGTCTGTAACCCAAGTTGAGAGCATGGCTTCTCTTTAAGCTAATTAGTTAATGAGCACATCGTATTTTGTGGGAGCAGTTCCTGCGAGGGGTACCTATGCGCGTCCAACGCCAACCTAAGGGGAGATACACAGAATGAGAATATGGCGTGTACACAGCAAGTGGGATGAATGACGGAGAGGGGAGTGAGAGTGCTTTGACAGTGTCTGAGGGCTTGGAGTGCAGGAAAGAGGCTGCAAGAGCACAGAGTTTGACCCCAGTCTGTGCCCGTTTTCTCCAACTCTTTGGATTTCAGCGCCCTGCCGAAGCCTCCGTCCCCCGCCATCTGAGGCTCTTGGTGCTGTGCCCTTGGAAAGTACTTGCTTGAGAGCGGGCGCAGAGTAAAGTCCGCAAGCCCGATGAGTGAGCCTTGACCCCTAAAAGTTCAACTCATGGGGTGTTTATGTTTGAGAGGTATCCAAAGGGGATACTTGAGGAGCAGCAGTGGCAGCTTGGTGAATCCTTCAGGGCATATAGCGCAAGACTACAGGGCTGTATCGCGTTGCTGTCGCGTGCCATTGTCGTGTTTGGGACGTTATGGGAGGTATGTGTGGGTTAAGTATGTGAGTGAGTACCCTGGATGAGTGAATGAGTGAGTGAGTGCCAGTGAGTACTCTGGAAGTAGGGATGTACGGCTGTTGACGAATTATAGGTATGACATAAGTTGCTAGAAAAGGGACGCTGTACATCCGCCAATCGCGCCTGTGGTCGCTGTCAACGTGAGTAAAGTGGTTAAGTGCCTTCCTTTTGCGACGCTTGCAGCCCAGCAGTTCGTCTAACACGAGCCACCGAGCGAATGGCCATTTAGCTGCCAGCCAGTTACTCGCCAGCCCGCTAAGGGACCAAAGTTTTTGTTAGCGTACGCCATGAGCCAACGCGTGGGACGCCAGAAGCGACAGGAAGTCGGTTCGTAGGAGTGACGGCTATGACAGTTGGAGATAAACCACGCCTTCCACGCTAAGCTACCCACGATTACCGTAGCTCCGTGGCGTGGCAGTGACAACTTGTTAGTTAGTGCGTGCAAGAGAGAGCGAGAGAGAGAGGGACAGCCGACAAGCTTCACTCTACAGCGGCGGCGGCGTAGCGGAGAGAAGGAAAATGAGGGCGGCGCAGGGCTTGACAGCGCAGAAAATGGCACAGGCCGGGAAGACCCTTCCAACGTGGCTAGCGGTAAACGACGCAGATTGAGGTGTCCCCGCGTCTCACACGTCCCTTCTTTTTCTTTCACTTCTCTTAGCTGATTAACTGAGGTAATTGGGGCACTCTCTCTTATGTATAGTCATAGTAGCTGGACGAGTGAGCAATATGCATTCAGGCCGCGAACAGAAGGCGGGGACACAGGCGTCATCGGCTGCAATGCATTGACTGCAGCACCTGCCCGCCCTCATTCTCCCGCATTTCGTCTCACCCCCTTTGGTTGCTGACACCCAATTCATGTGTTATCAGATTGTCTACAGATAAAATGTAATGCAATTGACTGGTGGTGTGTGATGGATTCAGTCGAGACATTGTACTCATCTCACAACTTTCACTCTGTACAGTCTGCATACCTATGAACAATTCTCCAGTAAACTCTGCAAAAGCTATCTTGTATGAACAATCGAGCAAAGTAAAAGACCTCGGCCAGCATCATCGCTCACTTCAGTCACCTACTGGGTACAGGTCATCCCGTCCCATCCCTCGTCTTCTCCGCGGGTCCCCCGTCCGTCCCAGTGCCTCCCCGGTCACGACTCACCCCCAATTCTCTCTCATGCCACGCCCTCTCACTCCCACTCTCACTCGCACTCTCAGTGAAAAGGCTTCAAGCTACCGGAGTACATGCCCGTTGTACCCACGGTAACCTTACCACGCCTTCCACGCCTTCCCTCCTCCAATCCCGCATCCTAATAGTCACCCCCCCCCGGTCCCATTTCCCGTGCCTTGGTCACTTCATCGTCCTCCCGTCCTGCTGGCTGCATCCAGTCACCACCTTATTCTACCTTGCCTTGAGTTCTACCCGTCGCTGTCGCTGTGTCCTGTTCCTTGTTGCTGGCTACAATTGCTGTTGGCCCGGTTCTTCAGTCCATACGGATACAGCCACTGTATTGCTGTGGACAACCCTCCCATATCTCTCTCTCGCCCACCTCTGCTATACTACGACCCAGACTCGCCTTGTCTTCGTCACATCATCAGTCATCCGTCCGTTGCTTCTACTTTGCATTTGATATTCCCCTCAAAGCCAGAAAAGCTTCGTCATCCGCGACGTGCTTTGCGACCACTCAGCTTATCCTCTGCGAACCGTAACTCCAATCATCCTCACTCACCCACTTACCGTCGTCCTGCGACTCCGCGGCTACCTACAAAGTTGTACCTCGTCGACTTCTGGGGTGGTGTTCTCTCTCGACCAATACCATTCTCGCTGCCCCCGACCGCTTTCTTCCGCTTGGCAGGCCTGTGACTTATTCGGCCCCATAGTCACCGATTGCTACAAGTGGCCTGGCCCAACTCTACTCCTCCTCGCATCCCGTCGACCGAGTTGAGTTTATCTCGACTTTCGAGCCCGCGACCGCAAAATTTCGCGGCGAGCTACCATCCATTACCGACATCGCACCCTCTCCCGCCCGTCACCGACATCGCCAACTCTACAGCAGCGCCGTCGCTCCCCCTGCTGCCATCATTGCGGAGCCCTCGACCCCCTGCCGGCGGTAAACCCGCACCCGTTCCCCGTCGACGCGACCGACCCCATCGCCCGACTTCGACATCCACCGCCGTCCTCGACGACGACACACGACCCCGACTTCGACGCCCAACATGCCAACTCCATCCTCCAACCCTCCTCCCGATCCTCATTCGCCCCGATCACACAGCTTCTCGACATGTCCTGAAGATAGCAGCTCAAGATCTCCACAACGCAGCTGGCGGCCGCCCACCGATGCAAATCAGGCCCCTCCCCAGATGGATCCCCATCACGACGACCCCATGGACGACGACTCGTCACCTGCCCCCGTCAGCGCTCCAATGCCACAAGCCGAGGGCATGAGCACAGAGGTCATACTCGACGACGAGCCCACATCTGCCGTCTCATCCTCAAGATCCACTACCATGTCGCCGAGGCCGCAGTCGGGCGACACCGCCAACTCGTCACCGGCGGCCGATATGGAGTCTTTCAAGCATGCCGAGTCTGACGAAGAGGCGCACATGGCCGGTAACAGACAAAGGACGTCGCGGCCAGATGGCGCGAGGCGGCACGATCCCAGGCTATCGCCGACTTCGGTCCAACACGAAGACAGCAAGGGCATGGAACTTGATGTCGACGATGTGTGGGAAGAGGAGCTCATGGCGCCGTCCATGGGTTCTGACTTTTCCAACATGCGGGTACGTGCCCAAACGATGCAGCCTAGCGCGCCAGTGACTAACAAAACGCCTCGGCAGATTATTCCATCCACGGCATCTTCATATCTTCGCCCAGGGAGCAAGTTCCACGGAACGCAACAATCTGAGCGGCAGGTATATGATGTGCAGGTCGAAATCAAGCACGTCGATCTTCGGGAGTCGTTTTTATGCGGCTACCTGCGAATCCAAGGTACGCAACAACTAGCTTCCCCGCTCATCGTGTAACCCGTTGCTAAACTCTGTGTCTGCAGGCCTCACCGAGGACCACCCCACATTGACGACATACTTTGAGGGCGAAATCATTGGCACCAAATACAGCTTCATCACCGGCCACGAGAGCTGGGGCGCCACGGACAAGATCGATCTCAGCCATTGGGGCAAGTTCAACGCCTTCCGCCCTCTCCAGAAGCAGGCGCGCAAGGGCCCGGTGGTGATCCGTGATGTTGCGCAAAGGGAGAACATTTTCATGCGTTGGAAGGAGCATTTCCTCGTCCCTGACCACCGCGTACGCACGATTTCCGGAGCCAGCTTTGAGGGCTTCTACTATATCTGCTTCAACCAGGTCAAGGGTGAAGTGAGTGGAATCTACTTTCACTCGAAAAGCGAAAAGTACGTGCCGACAATGCCCTCCCACAACCTTTTTGGATTTAGTTGTTTAGCTAACAATTTTTGCCAGGTTTCAGCAGCTTGAGCTCAAGCACGTGGAGGATAGGGGCTGCTTCGGCGCCATGGAATTCAGATGAGATCAGACACCAGATCAAGGAAAGAAGGGAAGAGGGAGGTGGGAAAGGGTGCAGGAGGCACGAGCGCGACGCCCAACTCTATTCGGTGTGTGCGTGCGCGAGCGCCTGCAGACTGCGGGAGTATGTCTGGCTGGACGCACGCATGTCTTATTCTTGTTGTCTTTTTTCTTTTGTGCAAATGATATCAAATGACCAAGCCATGGTACGCCTTGGGTATGAGGATGGACATGTTCCAAGGCCAAGCGATTTAAGGGAGGGGGGGATCACGACACGTACAGAAGAAAGAGAAACGCATGGTATTATCATTATTATTTCTTATCGGGCAAACGGTCATGGCATCATCAAAGAAGGGGGCTGGGTATTTGCTGTACATGTCCTTTTTTTTTTCTCTTGGTTTCTTCTTCTATCAGGCTTCTTCTTTTTCAAACTTTGTGAAGTAACCCCGTCGGAAGGGGTTCAACTCATCTGCTGTTGTTCCTGCTACGAATGTGCGTTTGTAGGCCGCCAGCCTTTCCGGGTCTACCTGGTTGTCGGGGATGCGCCGGTATGTGATGAGTCGACGGGACCCTATTTGGGAGTCAGCATGACTGTGGTAGCCTGGGTTGGGAACAATGACTATGGATGGAGGGATGGAGCTCGAGTAGGCAGGTATTTAACGATGGAAAACAACTCACATTTGTTGAACGGTTGTACGCATGTGACGACAATGTCGAGGCGTGGGTGTTGCGGTGTGGGGATCTCCTGGTCCTCGTCGTTGGCGGTTGGCATCCAGAAGGAGAGGCGGCCGCCGTCAACGAGGGTCTCGGAGGCGAATTCGAGGATGTCGTCGAGCATGGCGAGGAAGCTGTATGGTTTCTTGGGGGCGATGAAGTCTCCCGACCTGGTGTTGTCAGCATTGTTGATTCCTCGTCCATCATGGTAAGACGGCAAAGGGTGAAAGAGGGCAGATTGAGGGAAAGGGGTCACCAACTTATACCGCTGTTTTCCTGCCTCGACAACCCACGGCGTCTTCTCCGGATCGCGACACCCCAATACCCTCAACCCTTCTCTTACACCATACGGCGGATCACACACAATACCATCAAGCCACCTCACCCTCCTCACCGGTGAGTTGGTCAAATCTGCCGTCCAGAACTCGCCAATACGCTCCGAAAGCCCATATTGCGCGAAGTTCCCCTTCACGCTCTTCTCCCCTCCGCTCCCACGAATCGCTCGCCCGTCAATATCGCTCCCGAACCCAAGCGCTCCAAAATGCGCACACGCAACGGGGAACGACCCCGTCCCGACAAATGGGTCGTAAAATAGCTTCCCGGGAGCCGCGTGCGCGAGGTTGGCTGTCACCAGCGCGAGCTCCGAGTCCATTGACGTGGTACTGATGTACCCCCGTTTCTTTAGATCATATTTCAGGGAAAGAGAGCGTGCTCCCGTGGCGAGGAAGCGGGCTAGGTGGACGCGTTTGGGTCCCTCTGTGCCGCGGAGGTCCCAGTCTTCGAAAATTGTGAGGTGCAGCTCGGGGGTCTTGAGGTCGATTGCGCCGTGGAGGGGGAGGTATTTGTATCCGTTTATGAGGGAGACGAAGGAGGCGTGGGGGCGGGAGGATTGGTATGTGTCTAGGGAGAATTTAAAGGTTGAGGAGCTGACGGCGGACCAGTCGAAGGTTGTTGGTGACGGGGAGGCGAGTTGGGATTTGAGGATGGGGTGGATGGCGTCGTGGGTTGGGGCTGAGGCGAGGAGGAGGTGGATGGATTGGGTTAGGAGGGAGCGGGCTACGAGGCGGGGGGCGAGGTCGATTGAGGGAAGGGCGATGATGCAGAAGGGAGACTAGTTGATGTTAGCATTTGTTTGTGAAATGTTAGGTGAGGTGAGAGATGAGTGTTGGATTGGGATCTTGTGCTGTTGGTGGTGAGGCTCTCATCAGGGGCAGGTTATGGTGAGAGACGCCATATCTGGTGAGTTGAGAGATGAGGGTAAAGTACGAGCAAAACGACATATGATGAGCTTATGCAGATTACAACGTTGTGTGTAATTTCTCATTGTGCATGAGCCAAGAATCGTGTTGAATAATAGTGAAAACAAATGAAGTTGCCATGTATGCCATATAAAACTGGTAGATTTCAAGACTCACATCTAGGCTGTACTCCACAACCTTCATGTCGATGCCCTCCAAATCGGCGAGAGCCTGCAGCTCAGGGAGCCGAAAGGACTCGTGGGCCTGGGAGAAGCGGACGAGGAACTCCATTACGAAGATGACTTTGGCGTCCTAGATGGTGATCTGATCGAGGGTGTCTTAGGGTCCTCTCTCATGAGACTCAGGTCGACTGGGTGGGTGAGGAGGGGCAGCCCGTTGGAAAATCCTGGCGCAAGCGCGGGGTGAAAAATGCCCCTCGTTTTTTTTATTCTCTTGCGCTCCGGAGGCTTATTGGCGACGGTGTTTGGTATTAGCACTGGCACAACCCAGAGAAAGAAGAAAGAAACAAGAAGTCTTGCTACTCATAGATCTGAAAGGTCTTGGATTACCCTGTAGTCATGTCAAGAGTTCCCTTTTTTTCTGGTGCTGTATGGAAGAAACGTTTGCGCAGTGCCTCTCATCCCGCTGACTCGAAAAGATGATTTTCTGGGCGCAGAGTCATTCGGATGCGCACACGCCCTATTGAACCAATCATCAGCGATCAGAGATAATTGAGTGGATCTCTAGTGTACTCTATCGACGCCTACCGTGGACACAAGGAGACCGCTCCAATATGCAATTCTCGAATCCGCGGTCAAGCTCTCGTCTCACTCACTCAATATCACGACCAACTTACACGCCCTGATCATTGGTGCCAACTTCAACGCAAATCAACCAACTTGGTAAAAGTGCTTCTCCAGGGAAAATGCTCTCATTCCCGACGCCTAGCGTCTACCAATCTCCAAAATGTTTCGTCACATACGGCACCATGCCTCACATTGAGCCCAAGCAGCTGCCGACAAAGGGGAAGCCGTGGGCGCCTATCCTGGGACAAGGATTCAACTACAAGGTTTGTCTTTTTGAACCATTGAAACCGAAACCTTGACAAACCTACTCTATGACTAGACCTTTAACTAACATCTCAAAAGGTCGACCTCGTCCTACCGCAAGAGTGCTTCGAGCTAGTCCGCCAGAAGCTCGTCGAAGAGCTCCCAGCACCGATGTTCCACCGCGTCATCATGACCCTCGGCCAGGTTCTGGACGGCGGGTTCTTCAATGAGTACATTAAGAGAGGTAGATACAACTTCATCGCAGAGTGTGATGTCGCGTGGGTACTGATTTTATGTAGGCAACATCCTCATGCTCTCGGAGGGCAGGACAAACGTTGAAAATGTATTCTCGCTTCGCGAGGGCCTGTTGACCATGTACCTCGACAAGGAAACGTACGAGCGTGCCGGTCTTGTTGGAAAACCTCACGGTGTCAAGGGGAAGAGGGGCTTGAAGCCGCGATGGGGTGAGCAAGATGAACATTTCACATTGCAGCACGGCACTCTTCGAAACTAACGACCTTCAAGTTGTGAGCTACCAGTTGCGAGACCCGGCCATGTTCCCTGGCAAAAAGGGCTTCGATAGGTTGGTGTACGCTTGCAAGAATGTTCTCAACACGCCCATGACGTGGCTATTCTGCAACGCGGCGACCACTAGTAAGTTATTCACCCAAGCTTATCCTGTCTCGGGTGCCTACTCTGACATAAATCTCCTCAGCACCATCACCAGATCCGCTGGACCAATATTTTCCAACAAGATACACGTGCGAGCCATCCGTCGCACCCGACTTCCAGGTCCAGACACCACCGCTATCACTACCCTTGGATATCATCCAAAACGGCGACAGACCGGGCCTCGAAGACTTTGCGACAGAGACGTACGAGTGGCTGTCTCTCATCCGTCTGCAGAGCCCCCGCGTCAAGACAGGGGACACCATCGACCCGTACCTCTCACGCTACCAGGTCCCCGGGGACCCGGACACGCCGTCACACGCAAACGTGTGTAAGATCTCGTGGCAAGGCTTCTTCGCCTCGCACTGGGTGCGCAGCGTCCTCATCAACGCCCTCGTCGCCTTGCCGTCACGCACCTGGTTTTCGCTAAGCGCGACGTCCTTTTCAAAGGGCATGACGGGCGACAGCACCGAAGTCGCATTCTTCCGGCCGCCCGAATCGCTTGGCCATTACCTATTTTGGGAAGTCAAAGGTGATGAATAGCCAGTTATTAAACATAAACAGAATGCTTTTCTTCTCTCTTCAACTTCTTTTTAACCTTGCTTCTGACGCACACTGCGCTCATCACCCAGGTCCTGACCGAGGACGGCATCCTCGACGAGGCGGCGTAGCTCGGCTTGGCCCGTGGCGGTGTGGAAGTCCTCCCTCTCGGCCAGCTGCTCTATCCGGCGCTTGAACTCGGGGTCGACTTCGGCGGGGACTTCCTCAGCTTGATCCATGGTGCCGAGCGTCACGGCGAGACCTTCGGGGACGGGCGGCATGTCGATGGGCGGGGCAGCGGTATCGGTGGTGGCGGTGGTGGTGGTAGAAGTAGGAGCGGCAGCCTTAGCAGCAGCGGCGGCAGAGGCGCTTCTCTGTGTCTCGATGCCCTGCAGGTACTCGGCGATCTCGGGGTAGTCTCCCTCGCCCTCAATCTTTTGGCTGGCGGTGATGCCGTCGGCGCCCTTGGCGTTGATGTCGGCACCAAGCTCTTCAACCAGGCACTTGGCAGCAGCAACGGTCTCGACGACAAAGAGCGCAGTCTCCTCGTCTTCGTCCTTGATGTCGACGTTGACGTTGAATTCGCGGATCAGGGCGCGGAGGAGCTCGAGGTGGTTATAGCTCGCGGCGGCGTGGACGAGGGAGTAGCCGTGCTCATCCTGGCCGGAGGCGATGGCGGGGTTCTCGCGGAGGAGGGTAAGCAGGGCGTCCGGGTTGTCGGCGGCCAAGAGGTAGGGATTGGGAGCCATGGTTGGTTTGGTCAAAGGTATTGGCTTGGAAATAAAACTTGCAGGAAAACTCTTGGGTCGGGAAATTTGAGGCCAAATTGGTTTTCGTCCAACAGTGTTATGTTGCTGTCTTTGCTTGTTGGAAATTTTCTGCCGGATGAGGGGAGCTCCCGGCGTGACGCACACAATGGAAAGTTCATTGACCCCTCCAAAGATGATCCTTACCGCCTACCTAGACTGGATGAGGTAAGCTGCAGTGGTCGGGTGTTGGTGGGGGTTGGAGGCCCTGGGACTTTGGCCCTTTGGGAGCTGTGCTGTGCCCCTCCAAGCCCCAGTGCCCCCCCGAAGAATCCCACGACGTTGGTGGCAGTGGCGCTTATCCATCGCGCCTGCCCAATGGACCACCGCACCCCAATGTGGAAAGCGCAAGGCACACCAGGTAACCTAAGGAAGGCACAAACCACCACGCCATTTCCCGTCGATTGGCCTCCTTCCCCCGGCGTGACTACCGACGTCTTCTGAGAGTTCAACTTGCAGTGCTTTGAGGACTCTGTTTCTCTACTTCTCTGCTTCTCTTAGGTTGTCTTCCTCTCGAGTTCTTTCAAGGTGTGACTTAGCCACACGCCAATATTTTGAGCTGAGGCCGCTTGATCGAGACCCCCCCAGGTTGGAACTTTCTCTCGTCCGTTGCCCAAACGAGGCAGTTAACAGTGACTCACCTCCTGTACTGCGTTTGCTGCGGTCTGTACCTACTCGACCTAAGGTACCTCAGTGTCTACTTTTCCAAGGTTGTTAGTCAAGGATTAGGCTTACATCCTATTCTCAAGTACTACAAAACAAACGAATATCTCACCCTCACAGGCCGAACGGTCAAGTGAGATCATCTTCACACAACTTGTCTCTTGTCCTTTTTCAACAGAGAAAGGGACAGCACAAGCGTCGTTCCTTGTCGTCTTTTCCATGTTCATTGCCCGAAGGGCACTTTTCTTCGCTTCTAGACAATCCCCCCTCACTTTCAACAAACCCTTTACCACAACAATGGCGACAGCAAACGCGATGAATGCCGAGGCAGTCATGCCTAAGGTCCCCTACGTTGCTCAGGACGCCGGAAAGGTCTCAGAGATGGTTCACGCCCTAAACGACGCAAAGGCCTACAACAAGTTTGCAAAGTCAAAGGGCGGTGGCTTCTCCTGCAAGAAGACGTCTTTCGACGTCAAGAACTCCCAGGATGGTGTTACTGTCGACTCCTGGAAAATGCAGGAATGGGACTACAAGAAGAGAGGCCTGCCCACCTACGCCAGAGGTCTCTTTACAGCAAGAAACCGCCGAAACGAGCATGAGATTGTGACGCGAGGCTACGACAAGTTCTTCAACGTCGGCGAGGTCAATGAGACAAAGTGGGAAAACATCATCCCGAGAACAAAGGGCCCCTACGAGCTCACCCTCAAGGAGAACGGCTGCATCATCTTCATTTCCGGCTTGGAGGATGGTACGCTGCTGGTATGCAGCAAGCACTCTACAGGTGATAGGGCCGACGCCGAGCTTAGCCATGCTACTGCCGGAGAGCGCATGATTGAGAAGCAGCTCACTGCCCTGGGAAAGACAAAAGAGGACTTGGCCAGGGAGCTCCGGGACCGGAATGCCACTGCTGTGGCCGAACTCTGCGACGACTCCTTTGAGGAGCACATCCTCGAGTACGGTCCGGACAAAGCCGGCCTCTACATCCACGGCATCAACTTGAATCTCCCCGAGTTTGCCACCTACCCCAGCGCCCTCGTTCAGAGTTTCGGCAACGACTGGGGCTTCAAGAATGTCGGCTTGATCGTCATGGACGATGTCAACGAGGTCAAGAAGTTTCTCGAGGAGGTGGCAGAGACGGGCGCCTACGGCGACCGCGACGTTGAGGGATTCGTAATCCGCTGCAAGGAGAGTCACAACCCGGAGTCTGTTCCCTACCGCGACTGGTTCTTCAAGTACAAGTTTGAGGAGCCCTATCTGATGTACCGCCAATGGCGCGAGTGCACAAAAGCAATGATCTCCGGAAAGCCGCCCCGCTACAAGAAGCACATCAAGATCACCGAGGAGTACCTCCTTTACGCCCGCCGGCGCCTTCAGGCGGACCCCAAGCTCGCCCAGCTCTACCAGCAAAACCACGGTATCATCGCTCTCCGCAACGACTTCCTCGCCTACAAGAACATGAAGGGCTCCGACGCCGCTAATCTCGAGCTCGAGGATGGACCCAACAACGTTAACGCAGATGTCACCGGAGACGTGATCCTGTGCCCCATTGCCACCATCGGCTGCGGCAAGACTACTATCGCCGTCGCCCTACAGCAGCTATTCAACTGGGGCCACGTGCAGAACGACAATATCTCAGGCAAGGGCCGGCCGCCTCGCTTCACAAAGGCCATTCTCGACCTCCTCAAAGATCATCCCGTCGTTATCGGCGACCGCAACAATGCCCAGAAGCATGAGCGCAAGCAGATCATCACCGATGTAAAGGTCCAGCACCAGACGGCCCGCCTTGTGGCTCTCTACTTCGCCCACGACAACTCCAACGTCGACGAGGTCCGGCGTATCACCCAGGAGCGTGTCATTGCCCGCGGCGATAACCACCAGACCATCCACGCCGCCACCGACGCGTCAAAGTTCCTCGGCGTCATGGAAGGCTTCATCAGCCGCTTCGAGCCGCTGACCGCCTTCTCTCCACCCGACGATGGCTTCGACAACGTCATCAACCTCGACCCCACCGCCGGCAGCCGCGAGAACCTCGAGAAGGTCATCACCGAGCTACACCGCATGTACCCTAACCTCGTCTCCGAGGTCCCCTCCGCCGAGCAGCTCGACAAAGCCATCCAGTCCGCCTTTATTGAGTACAAGCCCGAGTTCAAGCACAACATTCCGGACCGCGGTCCCCGTAAGGACAAGCAGGGCCAGCAGCAGGCGGGTCCCAAGCCGAAGAAGAAGAAGCCTCTTGAGTACATGTCCGTCGAGGTGCAGTCCCAAGAAGTCCGCGGCGTCCTCGACGGCGCCTTCAACAAGGTTGACGCCTCCACCTCCCGCTTCTACAAGCAGCTTCACCAGACCCGCCGCGTCCAGCCCAAATTTCACGTCACGCTCATGCACCGCGCCAGTTCAAAGGACAACGCGGAGCTGTGGTCAAAGTACCTCGCCCTATTCGCCGAGGCGGAAAAGGAAAATGGTACCCAGGACCAGGCCAACATCCGCCCCTTGGGCGAGTGCTCCGTCGAGCTCGAGCGGGTAAGCAGAACTCCTTCTGATTTTCCATCTACAGACTGACTGACTCTCGTATAGGTGGTCTTTGACGACCGCGTCATGGCAATGGTCGTCCGCCTAGTCGACCCGACAGGCCAGTGGAAGTGCACAAACAACGTCGCCCACATCACCGTCGGCACCCGCGACGACGCCGTCAAGCCAAAGGAGAGCAACGACCTCCTCGCCCGCTGGCTGGACAAGGGCACCGGCGGCGAGACGGGGATCCAGGAAGTCGTCTTTGATAACAAGCCCAACCTGGAGGGAGTCGTCCGGGGCGTTCTCTCAAGGTAATGCGGGTATGACAACATTTGGAGGTGAGATTTGGTGACTTTGTGAGAGTTCGCATTGCGAAGAGGCGTACCCAAAAAAGAAAGGGCAAATGAAGAGGATTCGTGAGAAGTGCTTTTAAATACCAAAAGTTTCAGTCTTGACCGTTAGTTAAGGTCTACATCGTGGATAGTCCTTATTTGACCAACTCCCCTTTGAGGTTTACTTTTACGGGCTATCTCAGTATCAAGTGATGTATTATGCCATTGTACGTCGAACCATATGGGTTGATCGCCAGTATCTCATCGCGAGGCGGGAAACGACTCAGACATTATTACTTATCGATTCGTTTTAGCCAACGTGGAGCATGCTTGTTTCACGAGGCCGCAATGCATGAAGACCTATCAAATGTGAGGGGGGCGGTTTAAAAGCATCAGCGTGACACGTTCCTATCATGGTCTCATCACAGTCCTGTCATTGATAGTACTTTGAATGCTTAATTTCATGGCTCATTACTAAATGAATAGTGTACAGACCTGGCCCAAGGGAAAGACTCGATGAACGTGCGGCGTTCATCACCTTTGTTACCCTGGGCTTGAAGGTATCCCCTCCGAACCATGGTAATTCCCAAAGCAAAAGTCGTTAACAAAGCAAGCCGAAAACCCAAATTTTGTCATCCGTCATCAGCGTGACTCAGGTGAGTCACTAGTTCCATCGTCATACGAGATGGGT